TACTGATTATTAAAAAAAAAAAAAAAACTGTTGATGTTCAACACTAGAAATTCATTAAAACATTTCAAAGGGATCTTCTTTTCCTTCTTTCCTCTTGAGCTATTATTTTTCCTCTACAAATAAACTTGGTTTGTTAAAACTGCTACTCAAAATTACATGTAATGAGTTTCCTATTCAATTACTGCTGCTCAGACATCCAGAATAAATTATCACCAGACCATCTTCATGCTGAATATTGTTAATGTAGCACTCGTATTCCAGGCCTTGAGACCCCTTCTACCTATACCAAAGGGAGCTGTAGTCAAAACTAGAGCAATCCAGGAGGAAACCCTTTGGAAATTGTTTTGCTCCAAAGAACTGAGGGATTTATCAGCTTTTGGGAGTACTTACTCCTCAGAGTCACAGGTTGCCCTCAATGGGTGAGGTTATTTATCAAAACAGTATGAAAGCATTCATGCAATGATTCATCCACAACCACCGCTGGCCCAGAAGCGGTAGCTATTTCTAATACTTTAAATCAGTGCTCAGAACAGTTTTTAAATTTTTATTTTTATTATTATTATTTTTAATCTACCAGTGGGCAGACATTTGTGAAATTCAATAAACATTTAATAAAATTTTAAAAGCCATACGAAATATAATCTGAACTTTTTATTATTCAGTCAGGTATTGTCAATTTGCTTTTAAAAGATTCTAAATCTTTCCTCTTCTCTTCTGCCCTTCTCTCAACACAGACCAGTGCAGTCCATGAACCACCCTCTGTGCAGCTCCCTTCTACTGTATACAGCTGAACAGTGAAATACAATAGGCCCAGCAGCAAACCCACCATGTAAGTCAGAATCTAGCATTTAGAGAAGAGTCCTTAAAAAAATCCCCTAACTGAAAGGCAAATCAAAACCACAATGAGACCACTTCTCTGCTATTAAGATTAGGCTACGATAAAACATAACCCACACAAAAAACAGGTGTTGGCAAAGATAGGGAGAAACCAGAACCCTCACATTCAGTGCTTGTGGGATTATAAAATGATACAGCACTATGGAAAAGAGTCTGGTGGGTGCTCAAAAAGTTAAACACAGAATTATACCATGTGATCCAGCAACTGCACTCCTAGGTACATACACAAAAGAACTAAAAGCTGGAACACGAGCATACTTATGTACTAATGCTCACTGGAGCATTATTCACAACAGCCAAAAGGTGCAAACAGCCTAAATGTTCAGCAGATGGATGAGTACAGAAAATGTGGCAGATACATGTAACTGTTCATTTTCTGTTGTTTTATTGTGACCACAGCCATCTTTGAAGAGACATCTCAATCTCAATGTGACAGGACACACACCTGACCCAAGCCTCATACACAAGCAAATGCTGGTTAATCATAAGGAAGACCAAAGAACTGATGCCTCTGAATTATGGTGTTGGTGACGAATATTGACTGTATCATGGACTGCCAGAAGAAGGGAACAAAATCTGTTGTTTGGAGTAAGTATAACCAGTATTTTGTTCTGTTGTACAGAGGGTTTATGTGAGTCAGAATCGACTCAATGACATCTAACAATGATGACAATGTGGCCAGAATGCTCCTTAGAAATGAGGTTAGTGAGACTCTGTCCCATACACTGTGGACATATTATCAGGAGGGAATAGTTCCTGGAGAGGGACATCATGCTTAGAAAACCAGGTCAGTGAAAAAGGGGAAGACCTGCAATGAGACCCACTGACACAATGGCATAGCAATGAGTGTGTGGACGGCAGTATTTGGTTCTGTTGCACACAGGATCACCATGAGTCAGAACTGACTCAATGGCACCTAATAACACCAACATATACATACACTAGAGTATTACTGCTCCATAAAGAGAAATTTATTTCTGATAATGCTGTAACACGGATGAACCTTGAAAACATTATGCTAAGTGACACAGGCTAGTCATAAAAGGTGATATGATATGATCCCACGTCTATGAAATGTCTAGAATAGGCAAATGTATGGAGACCAAAGTTAATTAGTGATCATAGGGATGGGAGGGAGGGAGAAAGGGAGTCACTGCTTAGGGGGCTCCGAGCTTCTGGTAATGGTGACAGAAAAGATTTCTATAGTGTTAAGCTAAGGAAGCCTCCGACTTTCTAAAATTTAGTTTCCAAGCAAGTAGTTCATAACCAAGAGCTTTATCAAAGTACATTATCTCTTTCCACTCCTCATTAAAAATAACAAATGACCTTTTAGCCAAGTCACATTTTCTATAAGGAAATCATCTGGAAAAAAAGAGATAACAGATGCAGTTGCTGAGTGCCTTCCAAAGGCCAGACAGTTTACACACAGTATCCCTAGTCAGTCCTGGGCAGTTACACAGTATCCCGATCTTATATAATGGGAAAACTGAGCTTCTGGAAAGTTAGGAGACACGGCCAGGTCTGGGGCTCCACTACACTCATTCTGTCACACCAAGAAATCATTTCCAATTGTTCAATACTATGCCAAAAACTGAAAGGTCTGTGGAAGCAGACTATCATCTGTGCACTGGGGAATCTCTGGAGCCAGACTGCCTGGGTTTGAATGTCAGTTCTGTCATTTCCAAGCTGAATAACTGGGCAAGTTACTCAACTTCTCTGCCCTCAATTTCCTCATCTGTCACAGGGAGACAGTACTGCCACCTACCTCTTGGTAAGAACTACCTGGCACGCGTCAGCCCTGTGGTCGTCATTCCCCTCACACCGAGCTCTTCTACTCCCTACTTCAGGTCGCCAATGGAATCATGCTCAGTTCTCGTTCCCATTTTCAATCAGTGAGTCTATCTCCTAATTCTCTTTCAAATACATCTTCTCCATCCCCACCCCCAATTTCTGCTGCAACTACCCCACTACAGCCATCACTGTCTCCTCTCGTCTATTTAACAGCCACATAAGCGGATTTGCCTCTAGCCTCGTCTCCTCCAGTCCATTTTCCACAAGTAGCCAGTGAGCTCTCTGAGCAATGTATCTGATCCTGTTACTCCCCTGCTTTACACCCTTCAGCTGAGTCCCAACGCCCCAAGGATAAAGTCTCATGACCTTTCCACCTACTTTCTCCAGCAGGATTTTTTTTGCCTCTCTTTAAGCTATAGCAATATTGAGGGTCTTCTGGTTCCTTGAAGGAGCCACACTCCCTCTTGAATCACCATGCCCCAATATCCCTTTCCCCAAAGACTACAGAGGTGTCACCCCAATCCTAGAACTCATCACACTGCATTGTAGTTGGCACTTCATTCATCAGCCTCCTCTGCCCTGCACTCATATTAATTCACTGCTGTATCCCAGTGCCCAGCACAGTGCTGTGCATACGGCTGAGCAACAAACATATTCACGGGTTGAGATATCACCCATGTTTTTTTAATCCCATTAATCAGTCACCAGATTGGAGGGCAGGAAGAAGCCGTTATCATCAAAGCACTTGAACATTCAGCCCCTGAGCTTCAAAGTCATAAGACAACAGATGTTTGGTTGACCTCCCCACAGGCAGGGGCTTCAGGAAGATGTCCTGCCTCTTTGCTCACCTTTCTGCCTAGGTGGCAGCCATGCTGGCAGATGCTGCCATGCTCACCACTGCTAGATGGCAAGACAACTTCCAAGATGAAGAGGGCAGAGTCAAGCACACACAGTTTTTCCCTCCTATCAGCCCACTGACAGCTAAATTCAGACAAAGAACTAGACACTGTGATGCAAGCTGGGAGACCACCTTTTGCTCACCCCTACGAGGGGCAACTGCTCTGTCTGCTCAGCACACTGGACGTTCCAGATTTCTCAATTTGCTCGTCTAGAGCGTTTCTGAGGGAAAATGAACTGGCTCCCTCCCTGGGCATACTTGGTCATTACACTGACTAAAAGGTGTACCACACATTCTTCACAAGCTGTAATCTACACTCTTTAATTTTCACATTTTATTTCTGAAGCTTGGTTTTATTTCATTCACAAAAACAGCATTTCTAAACAATGCCCTAACCTCTAAACATGTTAATATTTTATGCTTTCATCCAGCCAGGTATGTATTCATATAGAAAGGACAGCATTCTTAATCAATTTCTAAACAATGCCCTAACCTCTAAACATGTTAGTATTTTATGCTTCCATCCAGCCAGGTATGTATTCATATAGAAAGGACAGCATTCTTAAGCATAGAAAAGGCAGATCAAAAGGAAGCACAAACACTTTTTCAGGTCTCACAACTGATATTTCATAGACTCAGCAGAGAGTCAGTTGTGCAAGGGTGACCATGAACAGAAACCAACCAGTGAAGCTGCTCAATGAGATGTGGCATGCACGTACAGGTGTTTATGTGTATGTGTGCACACTACAAGCACAAAGTACACCTCTGGAAACCACTGAGTGTGGTGACCAGATAGCACCTGGAATGTTTACCACCATCTAAGCTGGTATAGTGCAAGATACCTCCTCCCAAGCGTCACTAAGCCCTCCAGTGTAGGCACATTTTTGTTCATTACCTCTACTTAGTATCATGTATCATGATCATCCACTCTTGGATGATCACTGATAAGCATGAAGAAACACTGGCACCCGGAGGCCTGATCAATTTCCAGTCTTCTTGTCATTTGTTTGATCTTTTAAAAGCACCATTCTCAAATCTCATGCTTTGATACCAAAAGATAAAGAGGCAGACAACATCATTTAGCTTTGGGGTAGCTCGGGGATAAATAGCATTATTAACTGATTCTTAAGAAAATAATTTAGGAGGAATGATAAATAAAACATTTAAAGAATATCTCTATAAATCAGCTTTATCATGACAGTAATAACCAGTTTATACCAAGAGCAATAAACATTTGAAAGAGGAAAAACTGTTTCTATTTTTTACCTTTTCAGTCATTAATAACCCATAAGGAGATACAGAAGTAGCTTAAATAATGCAGAAAGACAAGAGATTGGGAGTCCTAGATCTGCCACTTAATGCTCATTGACACAACGCATTTTGAAGCGGAGGCGTGAAAGTGCTGGCCACTCACCTCTGCACAGACGGGGTGGATTCCTATTGTGCTGTCCAGCTGCTTTTTGGTCAGCCCACACTTCAGGGCAGCTGCAAAGCCCTGGGTAACTTCTCCAGCATTTGGACCCAGAACATGGAAGCCCACTACACGTTCCTAAAGTGGAGAAGAAAGCAGTACAACTAAGCTGCATTTTTCTATCTTTTCCTTCTACAGAGCCTAGAACACTTTCTCAGTCTTTTCTAAAAAACTCATTTCGGAATGGCCAAAGACTTAATATAAGTCTTTGTTGTTTATGATAAAGACAAGATGGGCCAGTACAGAGAGCTTGGTGTTCAAATCAAATAGAAAGGCAGAGACTAGAGCTGATGAAAAATTTAAAAAACTCTTAAAGCACCAAATTTCTAGAAAATGTTACTAAAGTGCAGTGATGTCCTCATGTCAATTTGGTTGTCTCAATGCTATAGAGAACCTCTCTATGACAACTGTAAGAGCAGTCATTTGTATTTAAAAAAAAAAAAAAAAAAAAAACTAAGGTGATTAAAGAAAGTATGTATATGCTCATACTTGTGTCCTGGCAGCAATCATAAAAGTTTGAAAAACATTGACCTATTCAATTCCTAATTTCGTAGGTAAGGAAACACTGTGAGGTCAAGGAGTTTGCCCATAAGTAGGCCTTCAGTTGCCAGGTGTTACATGTAGCAGCAGGCAATGAAATCTTCAATCAGAACCCAATTAACAGCTCTTCCCATTACAGATTTCTCATTAATGCCAGCTGCTTAGGACTCAACTTTGCATTACTCTTCTTTTTATTGTTCACTATTTTTAGACAGTGAATGACTTCATTGTTCTCCCTTTTATAAGCACAAACACATATGGTTCCTTTGGTTCATCCACTCAGTGACTGTTGCCTGCCCGCCTACTACGGGCAGGGCCCTGTGCCAGTGAAGATGAAAAGAGGAGTGGAACTTTGGTCCCTGTCCTCTGATCATTTGTATGCAGCTGGGAGAAGGGTAAAATACTAAAGGAATACATGTATTATGTGATGGAAACAGAGCTACATATTAAAACAAAGGAATTACTGGAAGGCATTAATTGAGAATTGTACTTACATTGTCCTTGACGTTACAAATTATTTTTGCATAACATTTGTTGTTATCTCTGGATGGAATTGTCCACTCCAACGGCCAGAAATAACTATGGTAAACCTAAGGAGAAATAATCACAATTTAGGCCCATTCTCTTAAGCAGTATGTTTATTAAACATGAAGTGTGGTGCAAAGACAATGGAGGCTTTTAATAATTAGACTTTCATCAAACAATAAAATTCATGGATTAAACAGGAATTTGATCAGAAAGTTAATGACTCTGAATTTCTCATTTTGAGGCCTTTTTGTAAGAAGCTCATCCCCTAGTAATAGCTCAACCTCAAAACAGTAAACCTCAGGTAAGAATAGTAACGAGAGCAACCAATGAGAAAGAAGTCTCACAATCGCTTGCTGTCTTACATTAAAAACAAACAACTCTTACAGGGATGACAATTGGGGCAAGAAACAAGTGAGGGGCCAGGAACAATGACAGCAATTATCTAGTTCTCCTTCATGTTTCTCAAAGACATTTCCTCCTCTGGCATTTTTCACTCTGAGCATTAATATTTCTATTAAGAAAAGGAGGAAACGAAGAAGAGAGGAAAGGAAGCAAAGACAGGAAAAGGAATGAGAAAGAAGGCATGACACTTCTACTGATGTTTCATAAACTTAAGTCCTGGGTGACAAATGGGTGTGTTTGGTCCCTCCCTCCTCCAACTCACACTATTAGCCTCAGTATAAAACAAATATAGTAGGCTCCCTTTTAAAAATACATTGATTATGATGTTACAGTAAGTGTTCTTCTATGCTGTAATACAATGTAAATTTTTTAAAAACATGGGTTACAAAATTAAATGCCTACATCACAGCAATTATGTAGGAAAAATATGAATAAAGGAATCACCCACAACTGCTAACTGCTGTGTTAAGACATGCCTATGAGAACTTGTTTCCTATTTACTTATGTTTTTCAAAACTTCGCTCATCCGCATATTTCCATAGTGAAAAAAGCAACCTGTGATAAAATAAAAGCCAAAGACTGTTTGCCAAGAACTATAGGAATATATATTAAGAACCTTAAATTTAAGTATGTTTTGATAGGAATCTATTCTCAGAAAACAGAGAAGCAAACAATGAAAATTACAAAGATATTCACCATTCTATATATAATAAAAACTGGAAAAAAAAAATCTAGTGAAAGAATGGCTTGAAAAAATATAGTATAGCATCCCTAAAAAGAACTACTATAGCCATTTTTTTAAGTGGTGTTTTAGAGAAAGGAAGGACAAGGTAAAATGTTCATAACATGAAGTTAACTGTAAAGTAGGAGAAAAAAAACTGCATGTTAATCATAATTTTTAAAAGTATGGACATACCTATACAAAGTTATATATACATATATACATACTATAAATACACATGTAATATACAAACACATATAAGTATTTATGAAAAAAACAACTGGAAGGAAACATGCCAAAATGTTAAGAGCAATTATCTTTTCATAAGTTAAAATTTCCTTCTTTATATTGTCCTAATTTTTCAAACTTCCTATAATGAGCTGTACTACTTTTATACTCAGAAAAAAAGTCAATAATGTGTTTAAGAGAACAAGATATTACATGCTACTACAGCTGAATAGAGGAAAAAAATATGAGATTTAAAAAAGACTTTTATATCAGAATTGCTTCTGATTCACAAATCTGGCCTTTTAAGCAGTTTTAACAGAAACTTCTTCCACATGACTTAAAATAGCAGCGCCTTGGTGCAGGCAGTCTCTGGGTTAGGAGCATGCAACTTACAGACAACTCCCACTTGTCCTTTAATGTTATGGAACTTTGCTCTCACTCTGAAGTAACTGAACCAAACCCGACTTAGAGCAAATTCATCATAATCACCTTCACTTGCTGCCTGTGCAGCTTTTATATCATTGATCTTGCACTAACCCACCCACTGCCATCGAGTTGGCTCCGACTCACAGCGACTCCATATAGGACAGAGTAGAGTGTCTTATGGGCTACACAGGCTGTAAATCTTTAGAAAGGAGAATTTTCTCCTGCAGAGTGGCTGATAGTTCAAACTACCGACCTTTTGGTTAGCAGTCCAATGGTTTTAACCACAGCACCAGCAGAGCGCCTTTTTCTTGTACTAAATTAGGCTAAATAAGAACAATATGCACCTGATCCAGCTTACCTACAAACTCTTAAAAACACAGTTAGAAACAGGTCTTGTTAGTAATCTGGGGACTGCCTATATAGCATTATTTGTGTATATAAAAACAATTTATTTCAGATGCCTCTTCCTATGTCAAAATTGTTATAAATTAAGAGATTAATGCTAGAAAAAGACCCAATATTACTAATGGTCAGGGCATTTAATTTTCCATTTTTTTCTTTGCATTTTCGTGTATTTTTCATATTTCCAACTACACTGTCTTACATATAAACCACAGTATGTAGTTTTAAGAGTAGAAGGAAATATTGGGTCAACTGACTAAATTGGAAAACAAAAGGAGGATCACATTAAAGTGTACTGTTAAACTTTCCCAAAAATGGCAACCATACTGTGGTTATACCAGAAAAAAGGAAGGACACATTCAAGTGTATAGGTAGGGGTAAAGGGGCATTCGACGTACACTCAAATGGTTCAGGACAAGAAACACACAGGTGAGCATGCACCTACGTGCATACAAATACAGAGAATGCGAGAGGTATGAAAAGTACAATACAAATGGGCAAACAATACGGTGTTTGGAAAGTGGTATGGGCAGGTCTTTGAACCATCTATCCTTCAGCTTCTCAGTATGCTTGAAATTACTTAAAAAATTTGAAGAAGAAAAAACAGTAGTACCTTGGTGTAAGAGTGAAGAGGAAAAAATACAACTCACCTCAATATTTTCTTCCCCAAATTTCTCCACAGCTTTCTCTTCAGAAAGGCCACAAACACCATATTCCAAAGGAGTAAAGACAGTTGTTGGAACATTTTCATAGTCACACTGTTTTCAAATAGAAGGGAAGAGTTATGACAGGCCTAATTACAACTCAAAAAAGGGATGAATTTCAAAAAGACTCAAAACTGAGAGAGGGAGAGCAGACTCCGAACTCTCCAATGCAAACACGTGCAGTCACGGCCCCAGGGGTTACCCTGCTGCACCAAGGACCTGAGCTAGTGACAAAGAGGAGACTTTGAGGCTAAGACTGATTATGAAGAAACAATTCACACAGCTTCCCCATCCATCCAGCAACTCATATTCCCTGTAATTACCTACTTCTTCCCTCAATAAAACAGACAAAACAATACTCAATGCTGGTAGTTTTATATTGTCAGTGACAGAAATTAATAAACTTTAGAAAAAGTTTAATTAGGTAATACATATTAATAGTCATAAAACAGTTTTACTTTCTGACCCAATAATCCTGCTTTTGAGAAAAGTCATTTAATATAAGGGAAAACCTCCAGTATTAATGAGCATTACAGCAGTACTCATCAACACTGGCAATATGTCATCATAATATCCAACATTATGCATAGTACAACATACTGTAATATCTTTTAATAATATACTGTAGTATCTATGTTGTTGTCGGGTGCTGTAGAGTTGGTTCTGACTCACAATGACCCTGTGACACAGGAGAACTGCCTCACTGAGGTTCCCACAGGCTTTAGTCTTTTCTCCCACGGAACCACTAGTGGGTTCAAACCAGAGACCTTTCAGTTAGCAGCTGAGCACTTAAACACTGTGCTACCAGAACTCCTTATCTTGTACGTAATATCATGAAGCTATTAAAATGCTAATAAAGATCATAGAAACAAGAAGTTAATGCTTATCACAGTATTTTTCAAAGGATATTTTATGTTAATAAGTATAGATAACAAAAGGGGTTCTGACGTCAACTTCATAAAATGCTAGATTAAGCAAATCAATAGGTTTCTCTGCCATCAAATTTCTCAGTCTTTAATATGCTGCAGTGACTGGTGAAAAATGTGTTAGGTAAATGTCAAATCTATTTGTAAGTGCCATTTGGTAAAAACCTAGCCGTCACATTTGCATACAGGGGTGAGCCTAAGAAACATGCTGCATTTGAAATTCTCATTCACCAAAACAGTAGGGTGAAATGTTTAAAATGCACTTCCTTCTAGAAATAATAAATACCACTGTTCTCTTGTTACGTGCCGTCAAGTCATCTCCAACTCATAGTGACCCTATGTACAGCAGAACAAAACCCTACCCAGTCCTGTGCCAACGTCACGATCCTTGCTATAACCAAGCCCACTGTAGTCACTGTGTCAATCCATCTTCTTGAAGATCTTCCCCTTATTCATTGACCCTCCACTTTACCAAGCATGATACCCTTTTCTCTAAAAGAACATAAATCCTATGAATTCTCTGATTTCAACATAAAGGCAGAGGTCCACTTAGAGCCGCAATGTTATAAATCAAGGACCAGATTTACCTTACTGCTTTAAACAACCAGAAAATGAAACAGCTTCACACTGGACAACTGACAATACAAGTGTGATCCTGAGAGAAGGGGAACAAACAAGGGGAGCCCCAGGACTGCTCTCGGTTACTCGTGGAGGTTTCTAGGCCTCAGTGCAGGGAGGGGAACCCAAACAGCCCAGCAGTCTTTCTGAGTTACGCAGAGACTATAATTCGGTGCTGAAGTTGCAGGGAAGAATACCAAAGAGGATGGAGCTGCACAGAGAGCTCTTATGATCTGCAGAGGGGTCCTTTTGAGATTGTGGCTGAGTACTGACTGTATATACATGAGAGGAAACTACTCACAAATGAGGAAAGAACCACTGGAGAAAGCAGTAGGTTCAAAAATGACCTGAGTACACACAAGACTGAAAACAGCTCCTGTTTCACAAGTCAGAGTAGAGAGTTTGTGATACAGGAGGAATGGGGTAGTCCTCAGAAGGGCAGCTATTCAGTAATCAAAAAACCCAACCCAACCCAACGCATAAGTAGAGTCCAACTCACAGTGACCCCACAGGACAAAGCAGAAGTGCCCCCATACGTTTTCAAGGCTGTAAATCTTTACAGAAGCAGACTGCCACATTGTTCTCCCATGCAGCAGCTGGTGGGCTTAAACACCAACCTATAGGTTAACAGCCAAGCGCTTTAACCACTGCCCCACCAGAGAGCATCCACCTATTTAACAGTGACACTAAATCAGTCCTAGAGGAAAGGTTGTTGTTACCTCATCTTAAAAAGCTTAAAAGCAAGTTACAAAAAGGTAAAACTGATCCCAACTAACGTAACACCCTGACAAAGTCCAAAACTTTTAAAAGAATGTAACAAAATCCAACACCTAACTTCGTTTACATCCATTCAAAAGTAACAAGACACGCCAACGGGACAAAAACAAATCAATCAATATACACAAAGATATAGGGGTGATGGAATTAGGAGACAAGGTCATTAAAAGAGCTACTATAAATACGTCCTGTATATTCAAGAAGGTGGAGGAAAACCTGAATTTGTTAAGGAAAAAACAGAAAATATATTTTTAAAAAATGCAATTAGTAATGATCCCTCCTTGGATTTCCAAGGCGGTATCTCTACAGAAGTACATCGCCCAGTCTTCCAAGCAGGTCAGAGAAAAAGGAGAAGACCCTCAACAAGGACTGACCCATGGCTGCAAGGATGGCTCAACCACAGGAAGGACTGGGAGGATGGCACAGGGCAGGGGACTGCTTCATTCTGTCGTACACAAGGCTGCTATGACTGGGAATCTACCCAAGGGCACCTAACAACAAAAACATGGAGAAAATACCTCACAGCAATTAATTCAACAAACTTTTAGATACAACTCATTCTGAAGTTAAAGACATCTTTGCTGTGGTTTTTCTTGCATTTCCACATAAAATACTTTATATTTACTATAAAGTTAACTTAAAAATACTACTCAAGGTAGTAAGAAAGATGTTAATGTTTACTATTTGGTAAAACAAATAAAGCTATCTCAAGTGCTTGTACCATGACTATGGTTCTTCTGCTAAGCGTCCATCATGCTGGGTTTAAGGCTGGGGCATGTGTCTTACCGAGCTTTCGAAGAGCTCAGCACAAAGTCCGTCATCCCCAGTCTGACTCAGCTTTATGGTCTGCTCTCGATCAGTGTTTTTGAAACAGTAAAAACACTTTCCTTCATTCCTTCATCCATGTTCCCAAAATAACAATGAAATATTTAGTCTGTTTAGTGGCAAACTTTTTTTAGCAGCTTTGAAAAGGATCTTAATCAAAATCAATTTTTAAATTTTCTATTTTCCATCTCATTTTACTTAGGAAAACCATAAATTACAGTAGTCTTTGCAAACTGAGGGATTTTTGAAAGTTTTAAGACATCTTTTCTATCCTCATACCTATTTTTTTAAAAAAAATAATCCATACTCCCCAAACCTTCCTTTTTTCTCTTAGGCAATAAATTACCGTATTGAAGAGAACAGAGGCTACAATCAAATTTGGATTTGATTTCTGTCTTGGTGGCCTACTAGCTTTGTGACCTTGGATAAGTTACCTCGTTGCCATCAATCTCCACATAGCTGTCATAAGAACTGAAGGCACTTCAGCACAGAGCCAAGCACGTTGGAAGCACTCAGCTGCCCTTTGTCTTCCTTCCCCTCCCAAAGTACGCTAGTCATAAACAATAAAATAAGTCAATACCAGTTTTCGAGGCAGACACAAACACTCATGATTCAATTTGGGTTCCCACAGCTGATGTGAAGGGATCATGAAGTTATGTTTAACAGAGTTATGTCATTTCTACTTCTGGTAAGATGGTGGAATAGGGAGAAAGACTACACAGACCCTCTTCAGCAAAGAAAAGGGGAACCAATTAACACAGACACATAAGATAATCCTGGAACCCTGAGCCTTGAAGGGAAGGATACAGAAGTGAACTAAACCCCAATTAACAGAAGAATTTGCATGAAAATACCGAAAAAGGAGACATACGGAGCTGGGTCTGGCAGCAACGCTGAGCAGCCTGACGGCACGGCATAGACAGCTTGGAGAGTGCGGAGTGGTGGTAGGACCTAAGAATTAACCTAAAAATCAGCCCTGCTAGCCAGGGACTGCATGGAAGACTGCTCTGGTGGCTGGGAATAAAACACGCAACACCAGCAAAGAGAAAGGCAGGCTGAGCTGTGGACTTTTTTTTGCCTGCCGGGAGGGCGCCGCCATTTTGAATGTTTACAAGCGGCTTGACCATTTTGGATATTTAAAGAGACAGCACTCTCCCAGATTCCAGGGGCTTAAGAACACGTTCTGCTTGCCAGTAACCCCAAGGACACTCCGAACCTGAATGACTGAAAAGGTGCAACATTCCCCTTTGTTACTCTTATACCCCACACCCTTAAGTGAACAGAGGTGTGGCCATTCCCCACTGCCACCCACCTTCTGGGCCCACAGGAACTCCATCCCAGTCTGTGTGCTCAGGCAAAGCCTGGGTGCCCTGCTCTATCTTCCCCCGATTTTTTTCTTTTTCTTCTCTCTTTTTTCTGGTTTTTAGTTTGCTTGTTTTTGTCTGTTTTAAAAATACTATTATTAATAATACATTTGTCCTTTTTACTATTATTCTTTATTCTTCCCCTCCCAGGTCCTAGTTTTCAGCTCTTTTTCTTTTCCCTGTTCATGGTTGCAAATTTTTTCTTTTTTCTTTTTATTCTCCTGGTTAACCCTGTTCCTTGTTTTTCTTTTTGCATTTTTCCCATTTTTTTCTTCATTATTCTCCTTCTCTATTTTTTTCTCTTATTGACCTATACCCAGATATTGCAGGTTTTCTTGTTTTTTTCTTCTTCTTTTTCCCTTTTTTCTTTTTTTGGTTACTGTTCCTGTGTGATTACATGGTGTATTTTTTTCCATGTGCTTTTAGTTTTTTGATGGTTATTCAGTTGTTATTTTTGTCTAATTGAGGGGGAGACAGCAACAGTCCCCATAAGACACAACTACACCCACACTTCCTGCAACTTCACTTACTGAGCCAGAGCCACCACCTCCTTCTCCATCAACAGGCCAATGATAAAAAACCACCAAAAAGAGCCTGAATCACTCTTGGCAGCTCTTCACAAACAGTTAACAGAGATACAATGTCACGATATCTTGGAGACAACAGATGATCACAGTCCACATAAAGAAGATAAAGTGGTAGAAGCAAGGGAGCAGAATACAGACCCAAAACATATCCCTGAGGAAGAAGCAGCATTGGAACTCTCTGATAAAGAATTCAAAAGAATTATCTTCAGGTATTTTCAAAGGATTAAGAGACAGACCAAAGAAAACACAGGAAATATCTTAGAAGAATTTTGGAAGAAAATACAAGAACAAAATGACAAA